TATTGATCTAAAGTCAAATGTCTAAAGATTCATTAAATGTTTTTCACTCCAGAGCAAAAAGTGGAAAGTTCAAACTTCAGGGTGAAATATTTCCGAGTTGTTTTGAACAGAAAAAGTGATTTTAACACTTTGAGAGTTAAATTTGTGTTGAGTTTGTGTGATTGGTCAGAGTTGGGGAGTAAACAGTGTTTAAGTTTATTAAAGGGAATTGAACCTTTCTGCAGGTGGAAAAGTTTCTGAGCTCCACCAAAAATCACCACGAGACTCGTTTTCAAAGATTTAATTTGAAATGAAGGAAGTTAATAGTCGATGTTTTTATTCAACAAATGTTCCGTTTCCTCGATCTGTTTTTGATAAAAGTTCTGGTCTCAAACATGATTAGAAACGAAAGCTTCAGAAAAAATGAACATGAAACCGAAATTTTCAACAGAACAAAACTCAGAACGATTCAACGGACTGAGATCAAATTTATTTCATTTGGTGATTTTAGACATTTTTGGAATTTTTTTCAGCCAAATCTGAGACAGATCATGGACTGAACCAGGACTAAACCAGGTCTAAACCAGGACTAAACCAGGACTAAACCAGGACTAAACCAGGACTAAACCAGGTCTAAACCAGGACTAAACCAGGACTAAACCAGGACTAAACCAGGTCTAAACCAGGAAACTAAACCAGGACTAAACCAGGACTAAACCAGGTCTAAACCAGGACTAAACCAGGACCCAGGTAAACCAGGACTAAACCAGGACTAAACCAGGTCTAAACCAGGACTAAACCAGGACTAAACCAGGTCTAAACCAGGACTCTAAACCAGGTCTAAACCAGGTAAACCAGGACTAAACCAGGTCTAAACCAGGACTAAACTAAACCAGGTCTAAACCAGACTAAACCAGGTCTAAACTAAACCAGGTCTAAACCAGGTCTAAACCAGGACTAAACCAGGTAAACCAGGTCTAAACCAGGACTAAACCAGGTCTAAACCAGGACTAAACCAGGACTGAACCAGGTCTAAACGTGTGTTTTTAAACGTCCTCACAGCTTGATCATTTGGATCATTTCAGTCGTGGAGTTTTTTGATCTCGACTGAACTAAAGGGAAAAGGAGCTGTTCACTTGATGACATCACAAGGTGGAGCAGAGCGTTTGGAGATTTGCAGATGAAACAGACTCAGAATAAAGATTCACTCAAACAAACACGAGTCCAGAACATCAGACTCAGAACCTGGACTAAAACTCAGAGTCTTTTTTTGAGTTTGTGATTCAGAAATTTAAAAATAAAATCAAATCAAATGAAAATACTCACTGTTGTTTTCACAGAATCTTGAAGATTTTGAACCGAAACAAAAAAATCCAAAAAACGTCCAAATATAAAATAAAAACTGAAGAAACATGACGCTCTGACGCAAAAGTACAAGTACACGAGTATTTGTAGTATCTGTAGTTGTGAGTATTTGTAGTACTGGTCGTGAGTGCAGTAGTGAGTATTTGTAGTATTTGCAGTAAAGTGTGTAGTTGTGGTGCAGCTGCAGCTCAGCCACAAACTCTCCTCCCTCCAACACTTCCTGTTCTCAAAAACACAACGTTTACATCAGATTTATCTCCAAAAACTCACCAGGACTAAACCAGGACTAAACCAGGACTAAACCAGGACTAAATCAGGACTAAACCAGAATTAAACCAGAACTAAACCAGGACTAAACTCAGACTGAACTCTGGTTTAGTGAAAGTAGGTCAGTGTCAGCGGTGAATGAATCCTAAACCAGAAAATGAGCATCAGAACCCAGGTTAAACAGGACTAAACTAGAACTAAACCAGGTCTAAATCAGGTCTATCCCAGGACTAAACCAGGACTAAACCAGGACTAACCCAGGGACCAAAACAGGTTCTAAAACAAACTTTTTTAGAAGCACACTGGTTTGTTTGAATATGAGCATCAAAACCCAGACTAAACAGGTCTAAACCAGGACTAAACTGTTTTAACTGGGACTAAACCAGGACTATAACAATGAGTATCAAAACCAGGACTAAACCAGGACTAAACCAGGTCTAAACAATTAAAGCCACAAGACTAAAATCCACAAACTTTTAAAAAATAAAATCAAATAGTTCTGTTGGTTTCTTTTTATTGTGTTTTTTTGGTTTTTCTTTGTGTGAAAACCACACGACCTGTGTGACCTGAGTGTGGGTGGGCTCGCCTCTTCACAGACCTGACTCATGTGGCCTGTGGGAGGGACACCTGCCTGTTTCCACGGAAACGAGACTGAACGTGAATTTGATTCATCGAAACTGTGACTAAATAATTAAAAAACACTGAAATGAAATGAAATTTTAAAAAGAACTGAACCAGAACACAGGACATTACACACAAACACTATACACACAAACACTATACACACACACACACACACACTATACACACTATACACACATTATACACACACTATACACACACTATACACACTATACACACTATACACACACACACTATACACACACAC